ACTAATTAAAATAACAAGAAAGACGTGCAGTAGGGACTGAAATAGCTTGCTGTGCTTGCACATGTAATAACACCTGATTTTTCTCTTCCTCTGTTAGTTATGGATTATTGATAGTTGAGTGCTGTCCTGGAGTGGAAGAGATTAGTAAGGATTCAGAAGTTTATCCTGCTAATCTATTTAAAGAGCTAATGAGTAAATTAAATCTTTACTCAAAGAGGTGAAAAGTGCATTTGTTGGCCAAATAAAGTGGGACCAAGAAACAAACAGTCCCAAGTGCCACTTTAGTTCAGACTGATAGAATAATTCGTTTGCCAGAATATTAGGTATCATGTCTCTGGCTATGCAGTATTTCTAAACATATGTGTACCTCCCTGTTAAGTCTGTCAAGGAAGAAAAATATGTAGCTTTAGAAGAAAAAAAAGCAAGTATGAAATCTACTCGTTCAAGTAACATGATTAAACATGGTAGTGGCCCAATCATATTGTAATATTCTTTCTTCTTTTGTAGGGTTGCCAACCCTCCTGGAATCAAGCTCTATCTCCCGGAGGCTACTGAAGCCAAACCGGGAGATTTTAGGCTGTTAAAAGTCTGCGGCACAGCAGGGCTAAGGCAGGCTTCCTATGTCACTCCCGGAAGTGGCCCACATGTCCCCGCAGCCCCTGGGGAGAGTGGGGGGCAGGGAGCTCTGAGTGCTGTCTCTGCCGCTCCCATTGGCGGGAACTGAAGCCAATGGGAGTTGTGGGGGTGGTGTCTGCAGGCAGGGGTAGCGCACAGAGACCCACTACCCCCCACATCTAGGGGCCGCAGGGACGTGCCGGCCGCTTCCGAGAGTGGCAGGGAGCCTGCCTTAGCCCCAGTGTGCTGCTGACCAGGAGCTGCTCAAGGTAAGCGCTTCCTGGCAGGAGCCCATACCTTTCACCCCGTCCTGCATCCCTGCCCCAGCCCTGAGCCTCCTCCCTCACTCAAACTCCCTCCCAGTGCCTGTACCCAACCCCCTTCCCCAGGTTCAGCCTAGAGCCCTCTCCCACACTCCGAACCCCTTAGCCAGAGCCCGGAGCCTGCACTCCCTCCTGCTCCCCAATCCCCTGCTCCAGCCCAGTGCAAGTGAGTGAGGGTGGGGGGGAGAGAGTGATGGAGCGAGTGGGGCGGGGCGTCGGAGAAGGGGCAGGGCAAGGGTGTTTGTGTAATTAGACAGTTGGCAACCCTATTTGGATCGTATTAAATATGTTGTTATAACCATGTCAGAAGCCGAAGTTTAGCTGTGTTAAGACTGGTAGAAATATATATAATTATGAATGCTTATCAAAGGTAAAGATCAGGGCATGGTTATAACACAGTTTTATCCAATGCTATATTGTTGTTGTTTGATTTTATTAGTAGGGACTGGTGGAGGAGGAGGATTTTACTATCAAAATCTCACTGTAGTATGCATGTCTGAGGGAATAGCTTTGGTAGCTACTACCTTTTAGGTCAGCAGAGCTTTTCCTCCAACTCTGCCTTCTTACCAGGATATAGGCAAAGGGCGTAATTGCTAAACTCAATCACTAATTTAACACAGATGGCAAGGTTGTCAGCTGGTGTGAACTGGCATAGTTCTAGAGAAGTTGATGGAGGTATGTTGATTTGCACCAGCTGAGCATCTGGCCCATTTCTTTTTAAAAGCTGGATCATTTTGGCAATTATCTAAGAAAGCCCTATCTATTCGTATAAGTGGCCCCTAGTGTAAAAATAGGGGAGAGCAATCCAAAGCACTAATAATGCAATAAAAAGACACCCCACCCAGTAAGAGAGCCAGTGACTTCCCAAGCAAGTGAGATGCAGTTTGTGTTATCTCTTTGCTGAGGTTGTCCAGGATATGTTTTCGCCAGTTCAGGAAACAGAGGAAAGAAAGTTTCAACAATTCGTAAACATTAGCACCCTCAAAACCCTCTGCTAACAGAAGGATGAGATAAGGCAGGCCATAGGACTGCTTGCACTGTTTGTTTATTCTCCTGCCCTATAGTCCCAAGTGTTTTGAAAAAAACTTGAGCCAGTGTTGAGTTCAGTTTAGAAATGTAAAGGCTTCACTCAGCATCGGAGAAAAGGGGCCTCAGTAGACAATTATCTGTCATTAAAGATGATTAAATGAATGAAGACACAGGGTCAGCCTTTCTTTGATGGGATGTGCAACTATAGGAATGTTCAACAGAAGGCTGTCCCTGCCCTTTAAAACAGGGGTGGTATCGGCTGGGTTTTTGATGGATTTTTATCAGTGTTGATGTGAGGAAATGGCTTTCCCAGCTGATAACATCTTTGACCAAGTTTCTTGAACCCTTGACCTTTATCAGTCAGGGTGCATTGGATCCTTTCTAATCTCTCTTAAAAATAAATCCTAAAATAAGGTATATGTAGAAAATACCTTGCAAGTATGACATTCTTGCAAAAAAGGAGGGTATTTTACATTTTCCTTTCACCCTAGGCTACTGCTTTGTTGTTACAATTTGGAAATTTTTACTACAAGAGCAAACAGAACATATCATTCAGAAACATATAAACACTGTATACTATATCCTACACTCAGGCCCCAGGTGACTTGATTGACTTCAGTGGTCTTAGATAAGAAGTAAGCTGAACTGCTGTGTAGTGTTGGTGCATGCTGCTTAATAGTTCCGTTTCACCCCAGAGCTAGTAGCATTTGTATCTCATCAGGCATTGTAAGGTTTAAATGTATGTGAAGCATTTTGAGACTCTGAAATGAAATCTGCTGCAGAAGTGCAGATTATGATGATAACTACGTTTTCTTCATTGACAGAAACACCACTGAAACACACTCATAGTGCCAATCTCTGAGTAGACGTAAACCTCAGTCCAATCCTCTTGAAGTCAGTGGAGTTACTTGGGGTATTAGTGCGAAACTTGGCATGTAGAACTTTCATATTTCCAAATGACATGTTATACTTACCCTCTCAGTAAAAATTAAATTACTCCTAAATTGCCACAATAAAGCTGCATCCTAGAGTGAAATGAAAATGTAATTGTAGAGTAGTTTAGGTAGCAGAATGTAATTACCCAAGTTGGAATTTGGCCAGGACATAAGGGTTAACACCCCTACTTTTACTAAAGGCATCATTTGACCTGAGTGTTTAGAGGACTTTGATTCTATGTCTCATCCAAAAGACTGCATTTCCACCACTGCAGAGCCCTAAACCCTGTGCAAAAGCATGGGTTTGGTACTGACTCAGAAAGAAGAGTGCTACTAATGGATCACTTGCATTATCATTTCCTGCAGAACCTTCCCAGTATTGAACCAAACAGTGACCTAGGTTATCCCTGAGTTTCTTGTGAGATCTGACGTGTGTTGCCACATAAATGACATGGCTGTAGTTTGATTGCACTAAAATATACAGAAAAAATATTCTACAAAATAGTGGTTCTCAACAAGGGATCTGGGGCCCGCTGGTGGGTCGCGAGCAGGTTTCAAGGAGTCCGTCAAGGCAGGGCCAGTGTTAGACTCACTGGGGCCCAGGGTAGAAAGCCAAAGCCCCACCGGATGGGGCTGAAGACTGGGGCTCTGAGCCCCGCCACCCAGGGCTGAAGCCGAAGCCTGAGCAATGTAACTTTGTGGGTGTCCTGTGGCATAGGGCCCCAGGAAATTGGCCTGCTTGCTACCCCCTAACGCCATCCATGGCTTTTATATGAAGAAAATCAGTTGTTGTGGCACAGTGGGCCATGGAGTGTTTAGAGCATGTTGAGGTGGGCCTCAGAACAAAAAAGGTTGACAACCCCTGCTATAAAACAGCATTAAACATGTATGCACAGGTAAGTGTAAAAGTTTAGGGGTTAAAAGGTATATTTGTCTTGAAAGTCAAGTGAAGTGTGTTACCATCCATGAAAGGGTAGAAGTTCCTTCTAATAATGTGAGCACATACCACTGATCAGAGCCTCACCAGTGCCAGAGGTCCTCCCATTGCAAATGAAGAAAGGGAGAAGCAAAGGTGGTTTTGAGCTGAATGAGTCAGTTTACCTCCTTAGAGCTATTGTGTCAAGTTCTCTCAGCCAGATATCACTGCTTTGGTTACACTCGAGTTGTGTTTTCAAACTTATCTCTATTACCATGAGAGCCAGAATTTATTTTTTAAATGAAAGATTACAATCTGATGTAATCACATGACTCCCAAGAGTCCCTGTGCTGGGACTGAGTAATGTATTTTCAAAAATCAGTCATTCAAGTTTACCATGGATTTGACGGTTTTCTGCTGTGGAACTACAGAGTGGAATTTGAATTTGTTGTATGGCAGAGTAGACCAGGTCTTGCTTAAGGTTATGCTGAATAAACGTGGCAATGAAGAAAACACTGCATTGTATTCATAGCTATAGAATAAGACTGCCACAAACTGAAGTGTAATATGATCTCTGGGGTGAATGTTTATCTTGGTCCAAGGATGACTGAATTTCATTGCATTTATACTTTCTGACTGTATGTAGTTCATTTCAGAAACTGAAAAAAATTGTTTGATTGTTTACTTCCTTGAAACGTGAGTATTCAACAGAAAAGAGAAAAAGGGAAAAAAATAACAGTAGCACTAACAATAGAAATTCTCTGTACAAAGATATAGTACAGAGAGATTGTACCAGGAGTCAGGGAAAAAAACAATTCAGTGTTACTCTGCAAACATTAAAGAAAAAAATTGTATTAGTAAAATAACTTCTAATAATTATTTATACAAGAAAGCACAAAAGAAAAGGAATCATGTCTTGAGAAAATGAGAGCTAGAATGCACAATATCTTGTTGGGTTACTTAAGGCAATGAAGCTTTAAGGTTTACCTTATGTGCCATGTACATTGATTAAATACCAAATATATGCTGGCCATTTTTGACCATCATTTACTGTATTGATTTGTCACGAGAGCAACTGTAATAAAAAAAACATTGATTTACTGTCCTTATTTGCTTATGGGCTTTTTATTAATTTTATGCTTTTTTGGATTATAATTTTTTATGTTTTTTTTTTCCTTTAAGACAAGCCTGGTGCTCTGTGAAGTTGGAAAAGGGGAACGAACCATGGAACAAAGGAATGAAATCATCAGCTGCTTCTTGCCACTTCTTACTGAGCGACAAGAGCTACGCAAAGAATGGACCGCAAGGTGAGAGCCCTAAGGAAAAGGAAAATATAGTGAGACCTTGAAATAAAAAAAAACAAAAAAACACATGATCAACTATTCTCATAAAGACGCACATGGTGTGTGTGTGTGGGGGGGGGGGCAGCTGGGCAAGTCTTTTTAAAAAAGAGTTTTACTGTTTGCTTTTCCAGTTACATTTCTGTATGGATTAAATAGTCAAATGTTACTATATATGATTTCACAGTTAATTTAACAGTGTGATGTTGTATTACTATCTTGATACAGCAATCTATTCAGTTGATACCCTGATAAACAGCATGCCCATTTAAAGGATGCTGTCAATTTAATCACACTTTGTCTGAAAAGATTTTCCCTACTATTGTTACAAATAATACTTGCTAATGTCTCATGGTTGTGATAGGCTCAGAATAAGAGCCTGAACAGAACAGTGCTGTGGTACAAACTCTGCCTTTAGATGTGTCAGTGTGGATGCTTACAACCACACAAAGTTCAGATAACATCTGTGGGACCCCACATGGGCAAGTCTGTTTACAGAATCACAGTCAATATCTGAAAAAAGCTGAGGGAGAATCCTCCATTTTTTCCCATTCAGATGGCTTGTTTTTTGCATTTGGCAACACTTTGTGTATAGGCAGTTTTACTGATTCAACCAAATGACAAAAATGGGTAAGGGGGTTCCATGATGCATTCAGTAACTGAAACTACTTTTAACACATTTTTTAAATTGCCTAAATTTTTAGTTGACAGTGTTCCTTTAATTGTGATAAATGCCTAGGAACATATTCAGTGGGATGCATTTCAGTGACTATCGATAAATGATATTCTTAGCCTGTTTGAAATGCTGTGCCTGTTCTTGTTCGAAAACCTGTTTATAGCAGATGTGATTTGGTGTTTACTAGAGTAAATTTCCACTGCGTGCCGCCTTGCTTTCTTCATTCCACTCTCCTGCATTGGTAATGGCTGCTAAATGAGTCCATTTTACTTTACTATTCTAAAAGCTGCAGATGTATACATGCTTTAATAATCTCTTGTTTTTTCTTGTTTTTAAGACAACCGATTAAATAAATAAAAAGACCTACTTCAAAAGTGGGCCAAATTCTTCACTTGGATATGTGCACACATCTCCCATTAAAATCAATAGGAGTCCTGTATTTGCATGTATGACCAAACTTTGGCCTAATGTATGTATTATTGTGACACTTGTGGTATTCAGGGTAATTGCTTCATTGGTGTGAATTTGTTTCCAGTGGTGTGTGCCAGTTAAGAGAATTCTGTTGTACCCTTACTATGGTGCTTCATATGGATGCTGAAAGTTCTGTAGATTTGACCTCCGTTACTTCAAAAAGTCAGTAGAGGCTGCTAAACCTGACGCTTGATTGGATTTGCTGTTCTCAATATTGCTACACTGCATGGGCTCTTGAAACGCTTCAAAAACTCAAGGGACTGAGCACTACAACAGAGGAACAATTATTGGAACAAATTAGCGACCTTGTCTAGTAAGGTTTCTTCTAGTGGGTAGGGAGTTGGTATTATGATATTAATCCGAAGAGGTCTCAGAATGAAAAATACCTATCTAAGAGTAGTTTGCAAATTCCTCATGTTATGTCACTCACTTCTCGATTTAGTTTCCTGCTTTCCAAAGAATCTCCTGGATGTTTTTTAAAGTCTCTGATTCTGCATCATTTGTCTTATTAAATTAAACCAAATGAGTTGCGGGACGGGGATGTCATTAGCTGGAGAGATCTCTAAGGGCTTTTCTTCACCTGGAACTCTCCACTCTTCTATGTTAAACAAAATAGAGAGCTTTCTAGAGACAGGGAAAGAATAAACGGTTGTGATGACTGACATGTCTTCTTAGGGTCCATTTAGTTTAACAATAATTTTCTAATATACCAGATCATCAGGGATCACGACAAAAAATTACTTGTTTTGAAAGGACTCTGGTTACATTGCTTCTGGCCTTTGCTTACAACTAACAATTTAATCAGAAGCTGGAGCCAGCACTGATGTGGCAGACAAAGTCTAGCTCTGACACAAAAATGTTAAAGTACTTTGGGGGATGGTGGTGAGAAAGCTTAGAAGCAGACAAAGTGCAGGCCTCCTTAAAACTAAACACCTGAAAGAAAATTTCAAGAGCATGGTGTCTTGAAAGCTCAGAAAGAAAGTGTCCCTTGAGTATTAAGTAACCATAATCCTTTTTTCCCATTTGATGTTTCCCATCCTAGTGACCTATCTAAGAGTCTCATCCATATGATCTACATAAACAGACTGTTACCATACACCTCACTTTACCTCATCAAAGCTTCAGCTAGATGTCTGGAATGAAGCCGTGACTGTGGGAGCCATCAAGCATGCAGTGGTGAAAGTTCTGAAACGTCCGCCCCAGTGCTCGCAGGGGCTGCCCGTGTTTTAGAGATCAGTCTATTGCGTACTTTGGAATTACATGAGAAAAATGTGCTTGGACAGGAAATAATTAGCACTTGTCAAAGGGCAGGCAACAGGCTACAGTATTTTACTTTCAGCAGGCTATCAGGGGATCCGCTAGATTAGATAATAGATTTTTTTTTCCCCCTCTGGAAGTTAAATACAGATGACTCTAATTACCTTCCATTGCACATTATTAGAGAGCACATTATGAACAGTACAACTTGAAGAAATTTAGGTCAACTAAGAGACTAGCTGGCAAAAACTTTACCGTGCTCTGAGAGTAATGTAGCCATTCTGTTGTTTCAGCAGGTTCACTTGTGGCACTGATACCTTAATTTAAAAAAAAAATAATAAAAAGAAATACATGGTTGGAACAGTAACACAGCTCTAAGGGGATTGTGCTTTTACAGGCCGGTGAGTCTTCCTCGCAGAAGTATCAGGATTTTCACTAACATGAATTTCTGTCTTAATCAGACAAATCATGTCCCTGTGGATTTTGCTTCTGGCTATGCCAGTGTTTCTGCATAATGACTGGCTGAAATTACACAATGAGTTTGTGTTACAGCACAACAGTTCAGATCACACAGTAGTAGGCTGAGTATTATGACTTGCCACTTTGCATACTGGTAACCCCTAGACAATGCTATCCAAGCAGGTCTTTCAGGGATACAAATTAATCTATATAGAGTGGTAGTGATCCAAAATATCTCAGGTAGAACTATGTGAATGTGCTGTAAGTGTTAACAGAAATGACCCAGAGTTTCTAAAGGCTCATATTTGTTTATACTGCTTGATAGTGTCTGATGGACAGGTTGTTATAGCTGTTAAAGAGCTGCTCAAGCCCTTTGAACTGACCCCTTCTTGACCTCAGCTTACAAAAGGTCAGTCTTCAGCTAATAAAGCAGGCGGAACCTTAGCTTCTACTGTAGTGAGCAGAGGCTAAAGAGAACAGCTGTGAATTTTGAACTGACCATGCAAACTGGTGCAGGTTTTTTGGGTTCACCATGTGATAATGAAAATTATTACTGAATGATATGGATGTTTAACTGCATAGTGGGCAAGAGAGGGCAGAGTCTAATGTATTGGGTTTGATAAATGAAGTGTGAAGTTACCCATCTGGATTTAGACAGCGCTTGCATTCTCTCTCTCTTTTTTTTTTTTTTTTTTTTTTTTTTACAAAAGAGAAACATTTTAAAATAAGCACAGTACATATAGAATCATTGACCCATGCGGAGAGCTGGAATAGATTAAGATTTAATGGTGACCATGGAAGAAATTATCATTTGAAAAGTGAGACCAAAGTGGGGGAAAGTACAATCCAAGAACTGCACCTGATTCATTTTTTAGGACATTCTTAATACTTTAATAATGTTGTTGTTGTTTTCAAATATGAGCATAGAGTTCAAGACACATTTACGATGAACATGGAATAAGAAGTAAAGTCGCAAAATTATGCCATGTAATAATATTTGCTTGAAAAATATTTGTTTGAAATTGTAGAAGTGGGTGTTAACACCTTTCATGTCCTAGAAATGCACAGGAGAAGTGTATGATAGTCTGAATAAAAATCCATGCCTTTCATTCCTCTTCTAAATCTTATTGATATCATAGATCTTTTCTATACTATGTTTTCTTAAAGATTTGTTTGTCTTGCTTTTTGTGCCTCTGTTAGTTTTTAGGGTTCATTTTGCAATATTTTGTGAATGAACACATTTGTTACCAAATTGTCACCAAGAAATCAGCAATAGGTTTGATATACAAAACAAAGATTAATTGTGTCCTCTCATACTTTAATATCATTAATTTCTGGTAAAATTTTGTTTGTTTTTGTAATTATTAAGTTAATTGTTGAAATCAATCCTTTTCACTGAAAATCTGCTTGTGTTTAAAGGTGTAATATTGAGAGTCAGATATTGATTAGTTTACCGCAGTGAAATCTGCAATAACCTCAGACTAGAATCTGGAACTGTGCTGTCCAGTGGTTGGGGAGAGGAACATAATGAAATTACAAGTCTGATTGTTGGGAAAGTAAAATTGTTTAGGATGTTTTCTGTTTACTTTTAAAAATAATAATACTCAGCCAAATCCTGATGTCCGTACTTTAATAACAGTTTTGACTGAGTGAAATCGGAATGAAGGTTTTATAAGGAATAAGGACTAAAGTAAACAAGGAATTCCTTTGGTTCATGCAACAAACATAGCAGAGAAGTGTTAACTGATTAAATCTTGTTTTAAGAATTAATAGCTTAAATCCAAGTTCCTTGGCTCATTGAAATAATACAGTGAGAAAATCTGTTTTATGGGACGATAATACAACTAACATTTGGTAGATAGGTCACTGTATAAGAGTATCTTTACATTTGTTACTTTACACACACGCACCCCTTTTAGATAGTATAAGGTTTTTGTTATGCAACTATTGCCAATAAGTTTTTTGGCTTCCACTATCCTCCCATTTCTACTAAATTTGTCACAGTCTAGCTCCTCAAAATGCAAATACAAACAAAAAGCTGTTTCTTGATCCTGATACTCACACCCTATCTCTACTTTCTGTGTATTAGTAAAGTACTTGGAGAAGTTGCCCCCTCTCATTTTTTCAGTCATCTCTGATTCTATACTTCATGGGGTTCACTTTGGGTTTTGCTTTGGCCTGTTCTTCCACGTAGCTCATTATCTACTTATTTCTGCTAAGCAAAGTTCTTTCTTCCTTGTTGTTCTCATTTATCTTATTCCAAACTATGGGCCCACTCCTTCCTATCCTTTTAAGACCTATCACTTTTATCCTCAACTGGTCATATATTTTTGACCCCCTTTGACTCATCCCTTTTTTGACCTGTGCAAGTGAACATGTGATTTTACCTCATCTTTCAGCTTAAAAGTCTAGAGATGGAAAAGTTTCTCTTAACTTAGAAGAGCATCCTCATTTTTCCATTTTTTATATTTCCCCTCATATCAGAGCCCTCCATTCTTCATTACTTTACCTTTCTGCTTAATTTTACAAGCCTTGAGAAATGCGAGTTCATCTCACAGGCAACCCATTGACTTTCCCACATTCCAACTGGAACCAGAATAAGTAAGACAGGCCAAAACTTAGAAAGAAAGTTGAGATTCATGGTGATCATATCAATAGTTAAAAACAAAAGATTATCATAATGTCCTATGAGGTTACTGAGAGAAAAATCTGAACCCCATTTGCTGCTGATCTCCATGGATGCACCAATGAAATAGGTCCTCCACTCCCAAAGGATCAGTAGTGAGCCGGATGCCAATATGAGGGATGTGATGATCTGACTGTGACAGAGATTTTATTTTTACCCGCTATTAACCACCAAATCCCACCCAGAAATGTGATCCAAGTTTTTGTGTAGCGCCTGAAGGCTTTTTATGTAGGTCCTTGGTTTTCAAGGCATCCATAAAATTCCAGGCCAACCCAGAAGAGCTCCTGTGTGCTCGAACACTAAATTCATCCAGAACAATAAGTCTGGGTGTCTCCAAGACCAGGTGGGTCAGAAACTCAGTTAGCTCAAACTGGAATTATGAAGTGCTGTACACTACAACTTTTGCCATTTTAACCGTATTCTAAACTCTCAAACAAGGATGAATGTGGTTTTGAAATTGGGTACTACCTACAGCTGAAGTAAGGATATTACATGCCAGTCCTGCCTCAGCACCGAGGGAAGGACCAATTGTCCTCTTGATGTCTCTTCCAGATTTATGTGATTCTTTGATTACATTATCTCCTGGTTTCTCTTGGCTGGTATTATACCAGCTACCAATTTAGACAGAGCTGAGCTAACAAAGGGCAAGCCAAATTATTCACCCAGGTCTTGGTTCTAAAAGCACATTTGGAGGCCTCACTCATGATTAATTTATGAATCCATAGTCATTATTAGCTACTGACCTTGCATTAAGCAATGTTCTTGGTCAATGAATAGACCCAACAGTCAGGGCCGTATCAGCTGATGACATGTTTGCCCGAAATGAGATCTCAGAAGAGACTATAACCAGATACTAGTTGTCATACAGCTGGTCTGAGTCTGAAAAATGGTCCCTCCCCCCTTCACCTTCACTTTCATGCTTGTTGCAACAGGAAACAGAAGAATTGGGGTTCTAGAAATGGTCCCACTTGACTGGCTAGTCAATGCCTATGGCACTACATGCAAATGTTAAATCAGAATCATCGTAACTCTACTTACTTTCTTCCAAGGTATGCCATTAATTTGAAACAAATTTACCTCACACTACACTGGAGTTACTTGGCTGTTGATCATTCTGCATTAGTGACATCAGAAATATTTAGATTAATAGAAATACTTAGATTGTAAACTCTTTGGGGCAGGGCCTGTCTTTTGTTCTATGTTTGTACAGCATCTAGCACAAAGGGATTCCTGGTCCATGACTGGGGCTCATAAGCATTACAGTAATAAAAATAATAATGGAAAGCTGACATTCAGTAAGTGTTGTCTATGTTGACAGTGACCTTCCAAGGAGGCTGAGGGATGAGTGAGAAGATTTGGCTTATTTTGTTGGTTCATGACATATGAAGAAGGTCCTAAAGGTTTTCTTTTTTTCCTGCTTCTTTTTTACATTAGCATTTCAGATCTTGTCTACCCAGGAAGACCCTCTGGAAGGACAGAGAACTAGTAGTTACTCTGTTAGCTCAAGTGGTAGAGGCCTGTATTGTGGATCTAAAGATTCAAACCCTGAAATACGGTCCACTGGTTAGGGCATTAGCCTAGGCCTTGGGAGTCCCTCTTTTGCCACAGGCTTCCTGTGTGACTTTGGGCAAATCACTTAGGACCAGAACAGATTTTGAAAGGTATTTATGTGCCTAAAGATGCTGCGCAGGAATTTCAAAAGGATTATCTCAAATATCTGGCCCTTAGTTTCTCCCAGCCTTAGTTTCCCATCTGTAAAATTAAAATAACATTCCTGTACCGCACAGATATGATGTGAGAATAAATATATTAAATTTATATTGTGAGTTGCTCAGATACAGTAATAGGAGCTATTTAAGTATCCAAGATGAATAGTTCTCAAGTACCAAAGACACAAAACTAAATGAATACAAGGGAGATTTGTATTCAGATTATTTAAAACTCTTAATTTTTGTTTGTTTTCATTAATGCCTGTTTAACTAACACAGGTAGAAGAACATCTCTCTTTATAGGAATTCAGACTCCTACTTCTTAAATTAAGAGCTCATTCTGCACATCTCTGACACCCCCAATAGGCTTGTCTATACTACAAAAATAATCCAGTGCTGACAATGTATGTCAGTATCAGGAGCTGTTGAACTGCTGCTGAAGAAGTGTTACCTGCAAGTGTGCACAAGATCAAGTCATATTCACCATTTTGGATACTGTGGCTAACAAATCTCCAAGAAAAGTAAAGGAAGAGCAGACTTGACTTATTTTTTATTAAAAAGA